TTAAAAGCTTTTTTGTCTCAAAGTTATACTGGAAACTTAAAGAGCACATGGGAACCTAATTAATTCTCCTGAAGGATTAAAATAAATGATTATTTAATGGGAAAATTAATTTACTTTTAGGCTTGATGGTGATGTTTTTCAAGAAGGATAGTAGCAGAAAGAATGTTCTCCAATTCCGTTTACATGTCTCATTCCATGGTGTCAACTAGAACTTGAACCTAAATAGAATGAAGGAAGAGTCTCTTCCTTCAAACTCTAGGCCAAGAGAAAATCATGCATCTATAGGTTTATTCAACAAAGTCTATATCCCAAAATAAAAGAGATTAGATGGCAAAGGTGTGAAAAATTCAGACTAAAGATTTATGCTCTTAACTTATCAAAATAACTGAAGCTAAGAGCAAAATATTAGATAATTCAGGTAACTATTTCAAGTTTATATAAAATGTATAAAATTATCTTGATTGTATAAAATCTGAAGTTACCTTTCAGCTGTTACTTTAAAAAAAATAAGAGAAAATAATAACACTCTAAGGGATTAGATTGCTCCTCAACACAAAATCCTATTTATTAAAATTCCTCCTACTGCTATGATCCTCCTATGTTGTATATCCAGATCCACAGCCTCAGTTTCATCTTTTAATACATGTACTACACAGTAAGGTATAAAATTCTACTTGATTGTTCTAACTCCTAAAGACTACTTCCATTCCGTGGTCCATCCATAGCCCTCCTTCTCCAGCTTCAAAACCAGCCACAGGAACCTCTCTGTGTCTTCCATAGCACATCTCCTTCGAGCTTAGCTTCTCTTCCTTCCCTCTTTGACTTTCAGACCTTTATGGTCGCATTAGGCATAGTGTTGAGCACTTGACTGCTAGCCAAAACGTCAGAAATTTAAACACAACTGCCACTCTTTGGGGAAAAAGATGGGACACAGTCCACTTCCATAAATATTACAGCCTTGAAAACTTCCAAGGGGCATTTCTGCCTTTCCTATAAAGCTGCTATGAGTCAGAACTAACTCCACAGCAGTAAATTCAGGATCATCTATTTTGTTTGTTTGTTTTGTGTGTGTGTGTGTGTTTTAATCATTTTATTAGGGGCTCATAAAACTCTTTTTTTTAAATCATTTTATTAGGGGCTCATAAAACTCATCACAATCCAT